TTTGAATGGGACTTTCGTGGGATAATTTTGCATGCCCTTATTTGGATTTGTTTTATGATTTAACCCTTGTTTCCTCCCTCTGCATCTGTGCTTTTCTTTCTGTTACTTTGTTTTGTTTTATTTTGTTTTCACCAGGCGGCCCCCTCCTGCCGTTCCGGGACGACCACCCTAACCCCGCCATCTGCCTCCTTTCGTTTCCAGCAGCTTGTCCGTCCGTGGTGTCGAAAAGCCTTTTGTTTGCACTATATGTCCTATGTACATAAAAATTTTTATTTTTGATCCACATCTATAATAAAAACAAAGTTTATTCTGTATACTAAAAAAAAAAAAAATGAAATGTGTTCTGTTTCTTTTTTCTAAAGAAGACCCAAATTAAAATGAGTTTGTTTCAGTTAAACCAGGTAAGGTGAAAAATACGTAACTTTATCTTTTAAGCAGCTTAAATTGAAAAAAAAAATTAAGTTCTCAAAGCATTGAAATTTAAGATGCTATTTGGTATGAAGAATAATCTGTCTTCAATTGAAATGTCTGTGCAATAGAAGCGTGAAAAGTTACAGTAAAAATTCTGGGTGTCTAGACAACTGATTAATTTCAACCTGCCTCCAAGAATCCCGTTAATAATTATTATTGCATAAAAAGTTTTGCTGTTTTCATTTTTCTAAATACTACTCTAGGAGGTAAAATATGCAGAAGCATGGAAGAAATCATAGGCCCTCAACCCATAAATGTCACACATTGTATTTTGGCAAATTTAGGGGAAAAACATCATTCAGAATAAAAGTATGAGGCAAGGAAATGTTGCCACTTTGAGAAGAAAGCGTCTTAGTGATGTAAGTCAACTGCTGGAAGAACAAACTCTCTGCAGGTTTTGGAGGGAAATAGAGTTTTTTTATGCCTTAATCCTCAAATGGTAATTGCAACATTGAAATTTTAAGCTATCATTTTTTTTAAAAAGCCCGAAGATTTATCCAAATAAAATGATTATTAAGGTCATATACTACATCCTCCCAAACCTGTGATCTGAACCCTCCCCAAAGGTTTGAGATTTAATTCAGAATTTTCTTTTGAAGATGTACGTGGTCTAAGAATTTAAAAGCACCCCCTATTGGATGAGACCACTGCTGAGTGCCCCCCACCTTAGCAGGTTCAGACAGAAAACTGCAGGAAGGAGAGTAGGAATCGGCGTCTCTGGTCAGCAAGGGCTGTTGCATTCCCTTCGTGTCTACCTGGGCGAGCCCAGTCTTCGTGGGACTCGTGGCTGGAACCTCCACTCAAAAGTGGAGGACCCCCCGCCCCCGCTCCTTAGCAGTGCTGTGTCTTCGGACCATAAAAATCTTTTTTAAGGACTGTGCATTCCACTTAAAAACGGGGTACTTCTGAGGTTAACATTGTCGTATAACATGATACGTCCGTTTTCACCTGTGTCCCCAGTGCAGGGACTGCGGGTCGGAAGCGCTGGCAACCAAGGAAAGTCAAGGGCACGAGCAGGGGCCACGAACGGAAGCTCGGGTCTACGTGGAGGCGACAGGCAGGTGCAGGATGAGGGACAGCGCGCAGGCTTCTGCCCCCTTCGCCTGCAGCCCAGGTGGTGGACGCTGTCCCCTGGGCCTTCGTCGGATGGGATTCCCACCCAACAGCATCCACGCCACAGACACGGTGCTCCCGGGTGATGAACACCCCCCGCCCCCCGCCAGGGCAAAACAGAAGTTCTCTCAACGGGAAGGTTTTCACCGGCTCACCTTTTTAGGTGTTTGGTACTTTTCCGTTTTGCCTTCAACATGAACTTATTTTTATATGCAGTGTGACAGTTTAGGGGACCTTAAAACTTGAGTTGACCCCATGAACGAGGAGAAAGGAAATCTTAAGTCACAGCAGAACGCACCCATTCCCGGGCAGCCGCACCCAGCTCAGCAAAAGAGCCCGGCCCCTTCCTCAGGCAGGTAGGGAAAAGGAGGGGCGGGGCAGCCTCGAGCAAAGCTCGGTCACACTAAGGTTGTGCGTGTTTATTGTTTGTGGTATTTCTAAGTTTTGTGCTGTGGCCCTCCTTGAGTCCCCTGTCCCCCCTCCTCCCTCAACATGAGAGTGTAAAAGGACAGCATTTTTTGGCGTTGGCCGTGACTTGGATCATCAGGAGGAACAAACCATTATACGTGTAGTGCAAATAATATTTCTTCCCTGGCTGGGGAGCTCAGTTGGTCAGAGCGTCATCCCAGTGCACCAAGGCTGCCAGTTTGATATCCAGTTGGAGCACGTACAAGAATTAACCAATGAATGAATGAATAAGTGGAACAACAAATCAGTCTCTCCCCCCCTTCCTCTCTCTGTAAAAGTCAGTAACTAAAATTTCTTAAACATCCTCATCCCTTTATGCATGAAAGCTTCCCTGAATGCGTAACAATGTCCTAGTGACGGGGATCCCAGGGAAGTGCCAGGGTCAGGGTATCTTACAAAATAAAATAAGCATTTGCTATAATAGGAACGTTTTGGTCATTTTTCCAGGGACAACCATTAGTGACTTCAGTGCTGAAGAAGCTGCTTGAGTTCTAGAACCAGGTTATCCTCTTGACCCAATGTGTGCTAACATTCTAGAACATGCTGGTTTTGACCTTTGACAAAGAAAGGAGCAATAGAACACATTTCAGCCTATGAGAAACCAAATTGTCCCTTTCGAACGGCAGAGCATGATACAGGACGCTGAATCCCCGAGGCGCTGGCTGAGATGACACAGTGGGTACTGAAACTGAAGGGGTCTGTTAACTTTGCTTTGGCTCCCAACGAAAAGGCTTTAGATTCAGAAGGTCCCCGCAGCCACCTTCCGCTGGGACCAGTAAAGGTTGTTAGAACTCCCCAACCTTCAGCTGGAAAAACCCGAGACAGCTAAGAGATGGAGAAACGAGAACTGAAGGTAAGGAAAAATAAGGCTCCCGAACATGTCCTCACGCACATTCACCAGCGATTCACTGGTGGACGCGTGTCTGTGAGCTTTGGGCACACAGATAAGACTGAGGGGGTGTTTCCAAGCATCCTCAAAGCTGAGAGCCACAAGGAGACAAGGAGATGACTTCCGCTGTTTGCAGACACGGGCACTTCCAGTGGTTTTGGAGTATGATAGACTTCTATCCTTTTCATCCCTGACTTTGAAAAAATGTGGTACTGGCCAACATCTGTTTTATAACTCAACGTTAAGTATTATTTAAAAAAAAAAAAAAAAACAACTCAGAAAATTGTTACTGGAATCTTTGGCTCAGTTCCATGAGATTCTGAAGTGAACCTTTGCAACTGTGCATCCATTTTAAAAACATGAACCTCACCCCCAGGAAGGTAAGAGCACTGGGGTGGGGGAAGGGGGGGAAGCTTCCACAGCCCTTGAGAGTAAATTTATTCCATCTCTGAGTAACTGAAAGGACACACCAGCCACCGCCGCTACGGGCATACACACCCATTTTTGTTCGGGTTTTTTGTACTACATGTTCCCGCTGAGTCGCAGTATTTTCAGTATATTAAGATTGCTGAGGTGGCAGCTATTGAATGAGTCAAGACTATAAACTGCTACTCCTATTGTTTTTAACCAAAGCAAATTTCACTTTCTATCCGGCCCTGATTTCCGGCTCCAGGGCCCATCTTTGACGCCCGCCGTGAGCAGGGGCTGAGCAGGCACAGGGAAGGCAGCCCTGAGCAAACCCGGGGGCCAGAGAGACCAAGGGTCTTCACACCAGGACGGGAGAAGTCGCTGAAGTGGGTGACAGACGATGACGGTCTATTTCTGAAGCTACAAATAATACTGAAACACTAGCCTTCAGTCTCTTGAGGGCCTTTGTATCCGCCTGTTCCTCTCCCTGAAATGCTCTTCCCCCCGGGGACCTGGCTCCGAGTCTTCGCTGGAATGTTACCTTTTCCGTGAGAACTGCCCTGACCCCCGGGGGGTAAAACCACTGCTTCTCCCCGCAGCGCTCATCGCCGTCTTCCACTGTCTGTTACCTGTCTCCCGCTCCTAGGACCTGAGCTCTGCTGGGCCAGGCACCTTTGTGACGGGGTGCATCGCAGGCGCACGAAACGGCGTCCGTCGTGTAGCTAGTACTTAGTATTTGTTGAAAAAATTCCTGAGGCCAAACACAAAATGTAGAAAGGTGGAAAGTAACGGGAGACAGGCCTTGGCCGACAGGAAAGGCTTTGTTAGACGCTGGGAGAATTCTCAGTCTCCTCAACTTTAAAATGAAAGTAGTACCTGTATGACAGGATTGTTAAGAGTAGATAACGTATGTAAAGTGCCCAGCACACGCCTGGTACACACTGGGTGCCCCACAATGGAACTGTTACAATGTATCAAGTACCACAGTGGGCGATGTGTTTCCTGAACTTGCGGGGACCTCAGCTACTTCCTAAACCGCAGCTCAGCAGGAATCCCGAGACCCTTCTTGAATTTCATGACGCGGGACTATCAGGGACTCCCACAAGGTGGCACTGTGTCCAGCCCAGTCCCCTGATCGCACCCTGTTTGAAATACTGTAAAACCGTGTGACTGGTGCCCTCTGCTGGCTGGTGGTGGTTTTTCTTGACCTTGAGCCTTGGCCTAGAAGGTGTGAATGGTGGCTCCGGGAGCTTCCTCCAGGCCGCCACGAAACGTGCGCCCCGGCCCTCTGACGCTGATAGCGGTTGGGGTTTTAGTTAGAATCTCACTTGGCATCCTGGAGACCCGAAGCCAGGCCCGAAATCCGACCAGCCCTTCGCGGGGCGGAGGGCCGGTCGCCCCCCCCCCCCGGGACAGGCAGGCTCCCCTGTTTTCCAGCTGCCTTGGGGCAGCTGCCCGCCGTGGCTGAGCGGGCTCCCGGGGCCTCCGCCGCTCTGCCCTAAACCCACCTTCTGCGCGCTTGAGCCCCCCCGCTCCGAGGCTGATCCCAAACGCCTCTCCCCCAGGCATGACCTCCCAGTACTCCGGCTCGGCTCGACCTCCCCCCTCTGTGAACCCCCCCCCCCCGCCCCCACGCATTTCGCTGTGTATCAGGACACATACATGCTTCACTAAGAATGAGGCAGAGGCTCTGAGTCAAGGTTAAGCGGCTAATTCTGTAGTTTTAGGCAACAAAACCGGACATGGCATCCAGGGTCCTAGGCGGGTCCTGCAGATAAAGAACAGAGCCCGCGTTAGTGCCTTGAGAGGGGTAGGTAAGTGGCTTTTTTTAACACCCACACACCTGTATTTTCTCTTGGTGCCCCTTCTGCCTGCCTTCTGCTTACAGAAAACCACAACACGATTTGCTGGATATGTTGTTAGTTTTTAATAAAGAGAAACCACATCGCTCCGTTGCTTACAGTGAGCACTACGTGCGGGCCGTCATCCCTGAGGGCCCCCGAGCGCTGTCCCAGCCACCACGCAGACGGGGTAAGCGCCGCCGCCGCCGCCGCAGCCCTCGGTTCGCAGCTGCTCTCGATCGCGCTCCCCCGCCCACGCGGGCCTGCTGCTTCCAGGAGGGAACCGCTTCCAGCCGAGTCCCGGCGCCCGGGCTGGTCTGTCGCTGGCCTGAGTCACTGAAGGGCGGTCCCTGACTCAGCTGAGGAACCGGGACAGGTCTTCCTTGATCTCAGCCTCATCCCAGGGCCCGTGGATGTTTTCTTTAAAAAGCTGCAGGCGAATGAGGTAGAAAGGGCACAGGCAGGAGACGGACACCAGCAGCAGCGCGAAGAGGGTGGCCCCCACGGCGCTGACGGAGAGCAGGCCGCCCAAGGCTGAGCCCGCGAAGAGCAGCGTGACCCCGACGTAGCTGCGCGGCGTGCACGCCTTCAGCTTCTTCTGCAGCATGGGCCACAGGGCGAAAATCTGGATGGCGAACGTCACCATGATGAAGGCGTGCAGGGAGCGGGGCAGGCGCGAGGCCAGGCACACAGAGGCAAAGATGGCCATGTTCAAGGACAGGGTGCTGGACACAATGGCAGCGTTGGCCCCGTAGTCGAAGAAGATGAGGTGGCCCAGGAGCATGAAGACGGACATGGCGTAGATGGTGTCAGTGCTGACGGACTCGGTGAGCGTCTTGAGCACGGGCGAAAACCCGTAGGTGAACGTAATGAAGACCAGGGCGCTCTTCAGGTCGGCCCAGCGGGTCCGCCCGCTCTTCCTGCGGCCTTCCCCTCCGTCCACGAGGTCGAACAGGACATAGCCCATCAGTGACAGAGCCAGGCCCGTCCCAAAAAGCCAGTGGGGGGCCAGAAGACCCTCGTCCATGTACCACCAGATGACCCCAAAAACACAGACACTGCACAGCTGCTGCACCACCACGCTGGACTCAAACACCACGGCCCAGTACTGGTACTTCCGCGCGTGGGTGTTCTTCCGCAGCTCCTCCAGGAAGCGCTGGTCCACGTAGTTGTCGGGAAAGGGCTGTCGCTCATACAGGACCTTCTGCCACCTGACCCCCGTGGAGTCAGTTCCGGGCCCGGCGCTCATCGCCCCTGCCCTGGGACTCAGGCCAGGTCAGCCTCCCAGGCCAAAGTCCATGTGGTTTCCGTCCTTTACCACGTTTCGAAAGAAGGCCCCTCTGGAAATGCCATGCTGTGTGGCGGCTGATATGGGGCCAGCCTTCCCTCGTTTTCAGAGCAGCCACCCAGGCAAGGCCTACGAGACGCAAGTTCCTAGAAAAAGACACACCAGGAACCTAAAAAACGTGTGAAGGTCAAGGGTTGGGTTGAGTTAAAATCCAACCAACTCACTTTATGAAATGCCTGGGCAAAATGTATATGGTGGTCCTGTTCTAATCATGGACTTTGGAACTTCCTTTCAGATTTTAAATGACCGCCCCTCGGCCAACAGTGGACATCTGTCGCTGTCCCTGGTTGAGGGCCCAGGATGTGCTAAGTGCCTTACCTAGCTTCTTTCGTTGCACCTGCACAGCCCTGCAAATTAGTTTAGTCCCACTTTAATAAAAAAGCTGAGACCTGAATTGCTCAGGTGACTTTCGCCCAAGTTAACAGTGATAAAGGGCAAGAGCCACGTGCAAAATCTGACCCAAAGCCTGCGCCTCCCACCAACCAGCTCTTAACTCAGGGTTCACACCCCTGAGGTCTGTGGATGGGCTCGGAGTGTGTCCAAACCCTGTCACTGCGTGCTTGTCGCTGCCACTTATGCCAGTGTCTAGGCACAGGACACAGAGCTTTCACTGGGTTCTCAAAGACGTCTGTTACTAAAGAGGTCTGAAGACAGCAGTAAACTGCACCATAGAAATAAATGTGAGCTCTACGGTTGATTTAGCCAAAACCAAGGATCCAGAAAGGAAAGATCCTTCCTCCTTTAACTGAGGTTACTGTCCTCCGAAGAGCTATCCTCCCACTTACACCGGCGAAAGTCTTGTGGGGATCAGAGAGAGTGACCCGGTTGTCACAATGGGAAAACTAGGAATCAGACGTGCCCGCCACTGTGAGAAGGACGCCTACTGCCCGACCTCACTTGTCGCGCTGAAACCTCGACAGGTGTGGCGATCCGATGGCCCTAACCGCAGCAGTGACTCTGGCCGGGCACCACCGGGGCGGGAGCATCCACGCACCCGAGGGCAGCGCCCGCCCACCGGTCGGGAACAGCGCTGGGGCCGGGAAGGTATCCCCAGGACGCCCGCCGCTGCCCCCCGCCCAGCCGGGAGGGAGGCCCCGAAACACTGACTGCTGCTCGGAACCCACCTGCGCGCCAGATCGCAGGGGAGCGCGGCCAGGTGGGGACGGACACCCGCCTCCTTCCCTATCCGGGGCGCGGGGTCGCGACGGCTGCCGAGCACTTCCGGGTCCGCTGCACGGTCGGCGCCGGGGCGCCCCTCCCCCGCGGGCTCGCTCGCTGCTGCCCCTCGTGGCGGTTCGCGGGATCTCCCGGTCGCTCTCCCGGGAACCAGACGCTACGAGCCTGGGACAGCAACCCCGCGACCGAAAGACAGGGGACCTGGCGTCCGAAGGGCTGGGGTGCAGGCTGGGCTGGAAGAAGAGGGACAACCATGGCTCCGTTACTGAGATCCTGCTGTGAAGTCAAGCTCTCGGCGAGGGAATTCCCAGCATCCGTGCCTCCATTCGATAGTCTCCGTAGTCCCTCAGGGACCAAGCGCTGTTTTAGGTGCTGGTGATGCAGCGGCGGGCGAAACAGGCGAAATCCCCGCTCTCCCGGAGCTTTCTGACCCGTGCATTGCCCTGTGATGTCCCGCTTTCACGGGGCACGAATCAGAGGCTCGGAGTGGTTGTGGTTGGTCCGAAGCCACACCGCCGGGAAGTGGATTCACCGAGGTGTACGTCCAGCTCCCCAGGCCGGTTCTTCCCTCTTTGCCGCCGGGACGAGGGGGGCGGAAGCAGCCGGGGACTAGGGCAGCTTGCTGATACTCAGCGCGGTGTGGGGATGGATTCAAGGATGTGTAAACAGATGGACGAGACCCAGAAGCAAAGGGGCAGAGAACACAAGACACAGTGGACACAAAAGTTGGAAAACCTGCATGCAGTCCTGAGCCGTGTGGCTGGGCAAACCGGCTGAGCTTCCATTTCTTATCTGTCAGGTGGGGACCACACACTTGCTCTTGGCCACTTTATGAGAGATTCAAAAGAATCAATCAACTATAAGTTACAAAATGTATCGACTGCTGTCTAGCTGCTATCAGCTTGCTCTGGGCATTGCAGTGGCCGCAAAGGTCAAATGCAATGTATGCTGCACAATGATCCCTTTCCATTTCTTTCCAGATTTCTGTTCCCAAGTTTGACAAGATTCCGTGGCCTAGTGACGCCAGCCTCAGAAACAAGCCCCTAGTGCTCAGCCTCCCCAAAAGGTAACAGCTTGGCCACTGGGGGCAAAGGGTGCAAGAAAGGTCGCACTGAGGCTGATTTCTTAGGAGGAGGGGGTGGGGGCTTATCAGAGGGACACGCCTGGTCAGTTGAGAAACCCACGTCAGGCGCTCAAAAAGCGGCCGTGGTCTGGGACTCTCAGACAGAAGGGAGCAGGGAGCGTAGGCTCTGCTGGAGGGGATGGGAGAGATCTCAGGTAGCCTCCCTTTCCCCCACGCCACTCAGCAATCAAGAGACTCTTGCCCTCGGACACTGCCTCTCAAAACACTTTTATCCTCCCCTCCATCCTGCCTCTCTCTGCTTTTGTATCAACTGTTGAAATTGTAACCATCCAAAGTCTAGAGCCATACATTCCTGTCTCCCAGAGGAGCTGCGGCCTGGATGGAAGTTTGAGACAATCTCCTCCAAACCAACTTCTAGGGAATGAGTTTCTATTTTTCAGAATCGAGGGGATTCGTGTGTAGGGAGCCCTTCCAGCGCTGCCGCTTGACACAGCTGGGGTTCCTCTTTCCTCCCCATTCTTGCTCCCCGGTTGTGGGGAGAGTCCCTGCTCTGGGAGTGGCGGGCCAAGAGGCACATCATGGATAGAAGGTGGCCCGGCCGCTGCACACCTCGGCCCCAGGCCTGAGATCACATGAACCACTCCGGCCGGAGCGCCGGTCACTCTAGGAAGAGCATCACTACTTCCTCCGCGGCTGGAGAGAAAGTAACAGGGAGAAAGCGGAGGGAGGAAGAAGATGTTCCAGGGGAAAAAGTGGGTGGGTTGCTTCCGGGGGCGGCCCGGGCTCCGGAACACGGGCCAGGCCCCAAAGGTCGGCACTTGTTAAACCGCAGCCACGTCTCCGCAGGCCTCTCTGAGAGGGCAGCTGCGGCATTTCACCCACCATGCAGCGGCGTTATGAACAATTTTTTTCCCCTCCCTTAATCTGCACATGGTCCCTGGCAATCCACAGCTGGCACTGGTTAGTTCAAAACAGAAGGGGCAGAGGAGGCATCCGGGGGATCCCCAGCAGGCCCAGGCCCCCCGGCGTTGGTGAGGGGCCTCCCCGGACGTCCCCTTTCTTCTCTCTGAACCACCCACGGGCCTGGCTCCTCACCCTGGAGACTGTGGTGTTGACTTGCGCTTGTTTTGGTCGCTCAGATACCCTCCTGCCTCCGCCGCTTTTCTGATTCCATCCAGGAAGGATACGGATGTGCCAAATTTGTTTCAAGTTCCAGATGACTTATCTAAGGTACTCAGTTTTTTCTATAATTGCCCAGAAATCACCAGCAGTTTTGGGATGACACAAATGTGACTTCAAAGGCCTCTCCTGTCTCTTTAGCCCAGCCCGAGCCTGGGACATCACCAGTGTTCAGTAGACATTTGCTGAATGACATGAACGGGCCCCAGTCCCGCACCCTGTCGGCAGGGCCTTTGGGCTCCTGGTCCCCAGAGCTAAGAATAAAGGTGGGAGGTGAGAACCATCCAAAAGGGAAACCCAAGAATTCACGTTGGGGAACCTGCCCCGAGGCCTCAGGGCCTACCTGTCGGCCTGTGTCCAGCACCGGCCTAGTTTCTGGGTCTCTAAGGTCCTCCCTCCGCCACCAGTCCCTAGGCCCCCTACACACACCGGGGTTCACGCTAGAAACTCCTCGTCTCCTCTCCGCCACCCAGAAGTCAGCCATGCCTGGCTGCTGGGGGACACTCGGGGACACTCAGGGTGCTTGTGGAGTCAGCACTTCCGGAGCTGGAGGAAGAGAGAGCGAGCTTGGTGGGACCCCGGCAGTTTCTTCGCCTGAAAAATTACCCGGCAAGCAGTGCGCCTGCGGGCAGTCCAGGGGGCTCTGGGGCAGACCTCCATGCCTGGGCCACATCGGGACCAGCCCTCGAGCCCGTGGACAAGGCTTTCGAAGTCCTTTTACCCGGTTTAATACAGACCCAGGGATGAGCAAGCCAGCTCTCCTCTGCGCAAGTGACCCCGTGGCCAGGACAGGCACACAGCTGCCCAATAAGTACCCCAGACGGGGTGGGAGGAAGAAGGTCGCCTGCGGGCTGGGGGAGGGGTGCGCAGAGCTGGAGCCAGGCGGGTTCGGAGGAAGGGGCGCCTCACCGGATCCAGATCCGGATCCAGATCTGGAAGACATTATTCCCGCAAATGAGGACGAGGCCCGGAAGCAGGACCTGGGGACTGAGTGGCAGCACGTGGCTGAAGAACAACAAAGACTCGGGCTTCCTTGGAAAGGCCATGGAGGGGCAAGGGCAGGGCTGGGCTTCGGGGTGACGCCATTAACCCCTAATACCCTGGACAGGCGCGCAGGTGAGAGCGCCCGCCGCCACGGAGGGGCTGGACATGGACGCGCTGGGTTTGGCCGCTAAGCCTTCCGGTCACCCAGGCCCGTGGGCTTCCCATCTAGACAGCCTCCCCTGCCATCGGGCTCCTCCCCCTCATCCCAGGTTGGCTCTGGGTCTCAGTGCACCCTGCCGTCCAAGGCACTGAGACTCCAGCCACCAGGGAGGGCTGGGAGGAAGGCGGCATTGCTAACGCCTAACCCAGGTGATCCGTCCACCTCCACCTGGGCTCAGAATGTCACGGCTGCAGTGCTGGGAAGCGGCCGCTAGAGGGCAGCCCAGAGCAACAGCCTGCCAGGCGCCGGCCAAGGGCCGAGCTCAGACGGGCGACCTGTGGTCGACTCTGGAGGTCACAAGTCCAAGTCCATCACTGCCGCTGGGGAAGGAGAGCTCAGGTACCTCGTCTCTCCTCTGGGTGCGTGTGTGCGTGTGTGTGTGTGTGCGTGTGTGTATAGGTCCTGCCTCCTGGCTCCCTCCTCGTCGCCGGCACAGGTCACAGGGTTACAGAACTTGGAATATTCGCAGCCAGGTGGCGGCCTCCCTGCCAGGGCTGTCCCAGGGCCAGAGCAGGTGTCCTTCTGTGTGTGCGCGCGCGCCCGTGGGTGGGTGAGTGTGTGTGTGGAGCAGAATCCCCTGATCAGAGACAGAAGGCGAGGAAACAGGCTCAGAGAGGGAAGGACGGGGAGCAGAGTCGAGAGACAGACAGATGAGGAGACAAAACATACAAAAAATAAATAAACAAACCAATAAATAGAAAAGAGCCGGAAGGGGAGAGGCAGAGCTCACAGAGAAGAAAGGAGACGAAGAGGAAGACACGAAGCCTAAACATCCTCCATACAACCCTCCGCTGCGGAGCAGCCTCTCAGCCATGACTTTCACCTGCCATCTCGGGCATCGGCGCCGGATGCCAAGAGACAGAGAAGTGCAATTTAGTAATTGGATGATTGAGGCCGGGAGGCGGCCTCCCCCGCGCTCCAGGCAGGCAGAGCAGCGGGGGCGGGGCGGGGGGGGGGCGTCCGGAGAGCTACCGCGGGGCCCTGGGCCCCCTTCCTACCTGCCGGGCTTGGGCGTGGCTGACTGGAGCCCCCCCCACCCCTCCCCCCCCCGTCCATCACTCAGAAGGGCGAGGGGCCACCCCACTCTCTCCAGTCCTGCCCCCCAATGCCCCCACCCTCACCCCCCAGTGCACCCCCCCCACCCCCGTCTCCCCCTTCCATCTGTTGTTCTCCAGTCTAATGAGCCAGAGTAAAGGCGAGAGCATTATTGAGTTTGCTTTTAGCAGCCCTGTGACAAAAAGCCCTGGCTAGTGCCATTGGGCAGAGATGGAGCTGAGAAAATACCCAGAAGGGCGGCTTCCAGTGTTCCCCCCCCACACCCCCACGCTGAGAACTCTCTTTAGCATTTCGCTCACTGACTCTCAGTTTTTAGAAGCCCGTGCCCACCACGGAAACTGCCTTGTATACGTGTAGGTTTTCCTGTTTATATAGCTCCAACATATATAAGCGCAAAGGCGAGCGGAAAGGGGGCAGT